CCGGCAAACCGACCATTACTATCAACTGTGCAGCGACTCAAAGGATGGACCATGCGGATGCCAGCTCTGGTTGTCTCGTACGGAACCTCTGGGATGGGTCGGCGAGGTACCCATCACCTGGAACCCTCGCAAATTCAGCATCCTCCATGACAGCCCTCGCTGCCTAGCGGCCACAGCCAAAGCTGGCAGTTTGAGCTTCTTCTTTGTGGTGGCTCACGCACCCACAGCCAGAGAAGCTGAAGCCCTGCGAGAAGCGTGGTGGAGACAATTGTCTTCCATACTACGCCTGGCTCCGGCATCGTGCATTCCTGTGTTGCTTATTGACGGCAACGCGCAGATGTGTCTTCAAGGAGATCCACCAGCTGGCTCCAATAGAGACCTCCTTGCACGGTTGCTTGCTGACCACGCGCTGGTGCATTCCGGCAATAGGACTTGCTCAGGACAGGAGTTCCACACTTGGACCGCTCCCAGTGGAAATCAAGCCTGCATTGACTTCATTTGCGTGCCACAGGCCTTGTCTACGGGCATGCGTGTGGAGGGACCTCTGCAAGGCTTTCAAGGTCAGACCGTTCATGATCATGAACCTATGGCTGCAAGCTTTCACTGGTCGATGTCCGCGCAGGCTCAGCGGGCGCGCAAGCGTCTAGATTTATCTGTGCTCTCGACCCCAGAAGGTCGACACATCTGGAGCCAATGGCTGCAGCGCATGCCAGCAATCCCTTGGGCCACTGATGTGGACACACACCTTGGATTGCTACATGAGCACGTGCACCGAGGTTTAGAACAGATCTGTCCGGCCATTCCTCGATGCGCTCGCAACCCCGTCACATCAGAGGCCACATGGACAGCGATCCAAAACCGAAGGGCCCTACGTCGTCTGCACCATGACCTGTTGCAGCAAGACCAGACAGCGATCCTTTTGACCTGCTTTGGAGCTTGGAAACAGGGCACAGCTTGCCATAGGCCTGCTTCGGATCAGCACTTAGCTAGGATGCATGTCGCTATGATTGGACTGCAGATACGATCCTTGAATAAGACCATTCGGGGACTTGCTCGCTTAGATGCTGCGGCGGCGACCAGAGAGATTTTCTCTCGGGCAAGAGGTCAAGGTCCTGAGGCACTTCACAGGCTGTTTCGAGGCATCACCAAGTCCGGACGAAAATATAAAAAGCCACCTCTCAGTCCCGCCATCCTGGGATCTGATGGAGTATATGTTGCCGATGCTGACTTGGTGTTGGGGCAGTCCTTCGCCACGGCTGAGCGTGCATCCCAGTGTACGGCTGATAACATCATCACCCGAGCTCCCGTGACTTCCACTGAACCTCTCTTCCCCACCTGGGAGATCGGTATCTCCAACCTCATGAGGGCCTTCTGCTCTCTTACCTGCAAGAAGGCATGCGGGCTTTCGGGAGTGCCACCAGAAGCTTTCAAGTACTCCGCCTTGGAGGCAGCGCACTGCCATTACCCCCTACTCATGAAGATGATACTCCGATCCCAGACCCCCGGACTTTGGCGAGGTGGGCTCGCATTTCCCATTGAAAAACCTCGCAAGAACCCCTCGCAAATTTCGGCCTGGCGGTCTATTCTTTTGGTAGAACCGGGAGCCAAAGCCATCGCTAAGGCCATACGACCCAGCATCCTGCAATCCTATGGCAAAATCCGCCGAGAAGCCCAAGGAGGCAGCCTGCCAGGTCTGCCGCTACAGTTTGCCATGGGACTGGTGCGTGGCTACTTACGCCGACTCTGTTCCGATAACCAATCTGGCGGAGTCATCCTGGTTGATGGCCAGACGGCTTTTTATAGTACGCTTAGGCAAAGGTTGTTAGGAGACCAGGATACGGAGAGCGAGGCCAACTTGCAATGGCTTGCAGAGACATGCTTTGAAGATGAATACAGTCGTCTCAGATTCATTGCCTCCCTTGCAGCACCAGGACTTCTGAGTACAACTGAAACCCCGGAAGTCATCAAAAGGCTGGTCATTTCCAACCTGGACCAGTCATGGTTTGCCACCGGAGAAGGTGGCCAGCATTTCTTTGCCAGTAGATCTGGAACGGTTCCAGGTGCTCCGTTAGCAGATGTGCTATTTCAAGAAGTCTTCACCGCTGCACTGGAAGGCTTGCAGCAACGACTTGTTGAAGCTGGAGTTCGTGCTCAGCTCACAGTTCGTTCCACAGGGGCCAAAATCCCCCTACCAGCCCCGACATGGATGGACGACTTAGCCATCCCCGTCGCTGCCAATAGTGCCCGGGACGTCGTTCCACATTCTCAAGCCATTGTAACTGCAGTTGCGGAGGAATTAAGTGGCATCGGCGTTTCCCTGAACATGTCAGCTGGAAAAACAGAACTCATACCCATTTTCGCTGGCGAAGGGAGCAGAGATGAACGCCGCAAATGGTTGAGCGCACAGCCAGCCACTTTCCCGGTGACCCTCACATCTGGCAAGACGGTGCAGGTTGGATTTGCCGCTTCGTACATTCATTTGGGTTCCACCATAGATGGCAAAGGCGGCGACTCCAGTGACATTAGTCGACGACGACTTTTGGCACGAGAGCTTCTGCGCCCGCAATTGCGTTTGCTGCGCAATCAGTTTTTAGCTCCGCAAGAAAAAATTGATTTGCTGCTTGCTGGACCATTTGCGCGTCTACGTCACGGATGCGGTCTTTGGGAACTTAGTAAGCAGCAGGACCGTGCAAGTTGGCATGCAGGCTACATGGAGCTTGCGCGGCGTGCCTTCCGCCCCATCACAGGGCTCAGCACCAAGGGCATGTCAGATGAGGAGATATGCACAGGCTTAGGCATCCTCTCTTCGGAGGAGATGCGCCGAGCTGATATCATTCGTCATGCTGGATGGCTCCTGTGTGAATCTTCTGCTGTCATACAAGAACTCTGGTTCTCAGAGGGCCCCTGGCTCTCGGAACTACGAGAGGCCTTGGTGATTTGTGTCCAGCATCATCGGCCCCTCGAGGATCCACTGTCAGCCTTGGTACATAACCCAAAGCTTGCCAAACTTTGGGCTAAGAGTTATACAAGACAGATGTGCAAAGCCCGTAAACGTTCACAAGTTGACGTGCTCAGCCAGTGGAGACAATGGGAACTCCTTCAGGAAAAGGGTTGGATCTTCCTACACCCTAGCCTGACCCACACTCTCCAAGATGACCGTCATCCTTGTCCCGAATGTTCGGCCACCTTCCGGACACCTGCGGCTCTGGCTTCCCACAGGAGGAAAAGCCATTCTGTCTTGGGACGGGCTACGGCTGCCACTTCGGCCACCCGGTGCGAAGTCTGTGCTAAGGAGTTCTGGGATTCCCACCGCCTACATATGCACCTCCGTAAATCACCTCGGTGCTTGGAGATCACGGAGGCTGCTGATCTGGACTTAACGGCGTGTGTGCCTGCCAAGCAGTCATTCGCGTGGCAGCCTGCCTCGGTCGTCCATGGGCCTAGGCCTTTCTGGGCGACATTGCAGCCGAACATTCAAGCGCCTATCATTGTGCCCGATCCAGTCACTCCCGTGTGGCCCGAGGCGCCCCATCCTGGGGCCCTCACTCCACCTGTCCTCCAGGAGTTTGCTCTGCGTATTCTAGACTTCGGGATCCGGCACTTGCCCACATTAGAGGACATCCCACTGGCCCTGCTTTCTAAGCACGGTCAGGTTTCCGACATTGTGCATTGTGCACTGTCGGCGGTACAGCCTTTACTTGTGCTGAGCACAAGTCACTTCAAGTGTGGCAGTTTGGTCACACTTGTCGCACACGGCAGGGTCATCATCAAACCGGCTGATGACGAAACCGATGTGCCACTTCCCTCTGCTTGGCAGACTTGTCTGGCCATCCAGAGTTAGACTTTCGTCCGGTGTTTTGCATGACGAGTGCGCTCGACGAGCTCAGCCAGTCTCCGGAAAAAAAACCCCAAACCCCAAACCCTAAACCCTAAACCCCCTCGTGAAGAGTCCTGACAACAGTCTTTCAAGGGTTTTTGTGCACGGCCAGGGCTCCGGGAAGTTCGGTTGGGTGCTTTGGGGCTGTTCGGAGGTTTCTGGCCTTGAGGCTTCGGTTTCGAGATTTTATGGCACGGGCTGTAGTGTAGGGTTCTTGAGGGCAAGGGTTCGGTGGGGTTCTGCAAGTTCTTGCTAAGTCCCGAATCGCCAACGCCCTAAAGTTCCTAAGCCTACATGCTAGGCCCATCCCTATACCTCAGCCCTTGGTGTCCCACGCCAAACTCAACCTTTAACAACTGGGCCCAGACGTTGTCGGTGTGTGTGTGTGACAACCCTGTATCCAAGGGCATTCACCTCACGTTCTGCAGCTTTCCATGTGTTATCACCATTGCTGCTCTCACGCTGTAGTGCTTTTGGACGAAATTATACGCAGGGGGGCAGCGAGCATTTCTGGATTGCGCTGCCTAACAAAGACCGTCCAGATTTGCTGTGATATGAAGAAGGGACGCCTTCTTCACGTACCTGCACAATTGCTTGTGACATCCTGGTCTTCGCTGTACATGGTTCTTGACTGTATTGATACATATTTTAGTCCGGATGGCCTGGGGCTAATCCGAGAACCCCGCACAGAACCTTGTCAGTGCAAGTGAAGCCATTCTTCAGCGCGAGGGTTTGCAAGCGTTGGTCCCTGTCGTGTCCTTCGGTGCGTTGGGGTTCAGGCTGGCGTTGTGGTTTAGCCAGGCAGGTTGAGGTGTCAGCTACAGACTTCCCGCACTTCCTTTTTGCAGTTGCTGTCCATGAAGCCACATGTCCAAAGTTTCTGGTGTGTGGTCGATTAAGACCTGGGCATCAGGTGGTTCATCGCATAAAGAAACCTGACTTGACATTCCGTGTGTGTGTGTGTGTGCGTGTGTTGGCAAGGCTTCTTCGCTGAGGAGCTGCAAAGGGGCTCCCCAAAGCATCAAGGCCTTTTGAAAAGACGCTATAAGGAACCTTGGAAAGCTCTGCAATGCCTACAACATCCGACCTCTAAACCCTAAGCCCTAAACCCTTCCATCTCTAGGCACGAGGTGTCGGGCAAGGAGTGGAGGAAGTTTGCCCTGGCTTGGCTTCTGTCCGCCGCCAGGCTGCAGGGCGTCGGAGAGGAGGGCGTAGTAAGTATGGTTCTAAGTACCTTAATTTGGAGTTATAAGTATAGTTCCCTTAATAATAACCGTAAATACTAAGTCCCATGATCCTTTAAGGGGCATCGGAGAGGAGGACGTAGAGGTTCTGGCCCTGCACCTCAAGCCCCAAAGCTCCACGACCGCCATTCCGATGCTGAGCGCAGGAGCTTGGGTTTGCATATCAATGTTCAAGTGTAGCACATAGGTGTTTGTCAAAATTAGGGTCCCTTTTTGGGTACCCTAAATTGTAGGTGCCGTATTATAATAGGGACCCGAAAAGGGACCCTAATTCTGACAACCACCCATATCAATGTTCAATTATAGCACATAGGTGCCTGATGTAACGGTCCGAAAGAAGGCTCCAACCATTTTCTCACTCTCCGAGGTGCGACGCAGGAACCCTCCCAAGGCCAAATCCCACGCTCCCTCCATCCCGGCTTTCAAATCCCAAGTTTAGACGACTAAGCTGTATCCACACCTTGAGCCTCGAGCTTCAAACCCGACACAAGCCCGACTAAGCCACCCCAGATCCGCCCAAATAGATATCCCAAATCCAAGGTGGTCTGCTTCACGGGCACGCAAGGGCTGGAGATTAGCATTGGAGCGAAGGACACATCGGGCCTGGCCAGGGACCTGAGTTGAGCAGAGGATGCGGCATGTGAACCCTAACTTGGAGCTTCATGTGTAGCTGTAAGTGGGGTCATACATCCGATAACATGGACTGCAACCACGCTTGCCTGAGACGTATAATCCCAATCTGTAACTACCCTCCAAGCACAGAACCTCTTAGAGAGCTCTGACGTATCAAAGGCTGTAGCAGCCGCTGTTCGCAAACCACGTGCAAACAGCTGGGATCAGGCTTCGAGGTTTATCGCTGCCGTCGTGAATGTAGTCGCTTTCTGGGTCTTGATATTCACCGTCGTCATTGTATGATCCTGATATTGCCATGGGAGCAGGCACCCAAATGCACCCGCTCTCACAGTGAGAAGGGAAGATTAAATACAGCCAAACCCAAAGCTGCCAAGACTAGGGGAAGGAGGGAATTAACCCCCACGTTTATTCTATTCCCATTTACGCACGAGGAAACAGACCCAAGTCGGGAGCTGGCAAGCAAACCCACCCAGTGGGGGGATTCAAGCCAAAACCACACATGCTCACAGGGGGAAAGGGGATTCCGCAAAGGAAGGACCCCCCAAAAAGGATCAAAGCAGCCGCCGTGACGTTGGAATCCGGGTGTCTTGTCCATGTTTCTTCCACACACTTGAAGGATCATGCGACTTAGTAATTGCGGTTATTATTAAGGTAATTATGCTAATAACCCTAATTAAGGTACTTAGAACCATGACCCTCGAAGCAAGTTTACCAGCCGCATCTTCATGCCTCATCTGATGCAGGAGTTCTACTTGCAACAGGCAAGCCGGGAAGGAATGAGTGCGCCTGCAGTCTTGCTGAAAGCCCTTTGCAAGAGCAAGTTGTTCAGAGCCTCTAAGACTCTAAGCCCAAACCCCCAGACCCACAACCTTTCCCCCAAACCCTAGACGCTCTTCCCTCACTGCGAAGGGGAGGGTTTACCCTAGCCCTAGACTCTCTTCTCTCTTCCCTTAGCCCAAGACCCCTGAAAGGGAAAAGGGTTAGCTCCTGTAAGGGCCACTTCAAGAGCTCCCGAAGGTTGCTTTCTAAGGGGTTCTTTAGGCTTCCTTAAAAGGCGCTTCGTGCGAGGGGTTCGATGAGGAATCCAGCGGCTGCTGGCAGGACTCTTCGATTCGCATCTGGGTGTTCTTGTCGTAGGTTATGACGATCATAAGTATCATAGTTGTTAACTGTTAATTATCATCACTAGAATCGTATGTCGAGGCGGGCGTGAACCCAAGACCTGGACGGGATCTCGGGCAGAATCCCAGCAGACCCTAACTCCGAAAACGTATCCCCATATGAATAGTAGTCCGAAGGCTTGTGGCCCGTGTTGCGAGCTGAAGCTTCGAACGAAGCGCTGAAACTTCCAAACTCAGACCCGAAGCTTTGTAGAACCTACTCTGCTCTAGCCCTTGAGGGCTACAAAACAACCCTTCGTACAGAGACTTAGTTATCGGAGGCGCCAGTAGACGACTTCCTCAACATCGTCATGCTCTCGTGGCTGGGCTTCGCATTCCGAAACCATCGTCTGCTATAACAACTGTTTCCTACCCCTTTATGGGTTGAGGGGCTGCGTGCCAGCCGGAGCAAGTTGTTGGAGTCGAGCCCTCATGCCTTATGTTGGGAACTCCTAGAATCAGTAGGTCTAGGCTGTCTGCGCTGAACTTCGAGAGATTCGCGTTTAAAGTGATGGTGTGCAAGCTCGCAAGTTGAACGGGACTGTCGACAGACGAAGTCAGCATTTTGGGGGCACCCTGAACTTGGACCCCCAGCCAGAAGCCGTCATATACGCATGTTCACATACTTACAGAACGACAGATAGATGGATAGATGGATGGATAGCTGCTGTACAGTCCGCAGATCCCGACCCCGAACGCTCAAGCCTAAACGGCAAAGGAGACCAGGCACCCAGTTTGGCCTTCTCACTTCACGCCCTAAGTCTTTAGTCCCGGCGCCCGAGACTGCTCCCAAAGGTTGAAGGGCTTGTCCGTCATCAACTTCGCAATTGCGAGTGCGATCGTCATGAGCCTTACCTCTGAAGTTGAGTTTTCGGGAGCAGGGATTCAGGGTAGGGGATCAGGAACACTGGGAGTTAAGGAGGAGGAGGAGGTTTGTAGTTTCTCGGTTGGAGATCTTAAGGAAGTGGATTTAAGGAGTTTGTAGTTTCTCGGTTGGAGGTCCTCAGCAAGTGGGGACTTGAGGGGTTCGCAGATGACGTAATGTTTGGATGCGAGGATTGGATAGGCTCGCCGAAACGCCGGAAATCTCGAGTCTTGGATCCAGCGCCCTGTGCACCTAAACACCCCGGTGATTCCCTATTTGGAGGGCTTCTGATTAGCCGGACTAGTAGGGAAAAGAGGGTACGCCTGTTCTCATGCGGAAACTGGAGAACTGAGACTCGCCGTTGAGGATTGTGGCATACATCCAGTCACACCTTCTGATCGGTCTGGACAAGTGCCCTGGCCTGGATTGTCGGCGGCCAGTGTGTGAAAGCGCGAATCCGAAGAACGGGCCCTAAACCCTCCCAAGCCCTAAACCCTAAACCCTAAACTCTGAACCCTATACGAGAGAGGCACATATGTCACCCCAGGGTGGTCTGCCGAGACATCCCCCAGATCGACTTCATTGACCAGACAGTACTCCAGCAGCTTGCTAAGAGTCACCCCTCAGGATGTGAAGGAGGCATTCAGAGAGGCCAAACGCAGGCGGACAGCAGCTTTGTGGAAGGATGCCTTCAAGAAGCGCAAGATGGCGAGGAAAGAGTGGGAGCAGGAACGGTTGAGAAAGGCTGCTAATGGGGATTGGGGAGCCTTCCGAGCACTCCAAAAGCCGAAACATGTCGGATGGGATGTCTCCTTCGCTGAAAATCAAGTTCGGGATCCACATCTGGTTGTGCACCAGCACTTCACTTCTGTGTATGAAGGCCCGGCAGTCGCACCAGAGCCACCCTTCACCGGCGAAATTAGGGCTTTCACGATCGAAGAGCTCCAGACAGGCCTTGGACAATTGAAGAAAAGGAAATCGGTAGGGGTCGACGGCACGTCCACGGAATTGCTACTCGCAGTGGCACAAGCTCCAGGGGGAGCCTCGCATTTACTTGAATACTACAACCGTGTGCTCACCACCCAGCAAATTCCGCGACAGTGGAACGAGCCCCTCATGATTCTCCTACCTAAGATCAGAGAGCCTCTACTCGCAAAAGATCTTCGGCCGATCGCTATGTCCAGTGCAGTGGGGAAACTTTTCAGCAAGCTCCTTTTAAATCGCACCTTACCCTCGATGGCACCATCCACATATGCTCAATGTGCAGGAGCCCACCGTCAAAGCTCTGACTATCTTTTCACGGCTTTTCGTACGTTTGAGTTGGCTCGTGAATGGGGCCACCCCGTGACACTCCTAAAACTCGATCTCGAAAAAGCGTTCGACAAGTTGGACAGATGCTCCCTGATTGCTCAGTTGTCTGATCGTCTCGGCGAAGGAGCAGAACTGCAATGTTGGAAAGGACTCCTTGAAACGACCTTTGCAGAGCTCCAGACACCCTGGGGAAACAGCACCATCGAGATGAACAGAGGGATAAAGCAGGGGTCGATCGAGTCGCCGAGTTTCTTTGGACACATTGCTGAGGTCATTCTTGCACTTGCCACCGAGAACGAGGCCTGGTCCCGCCATCAAAGGGTCCTTGATGGGATGGAAGCTGAAGAGATGCTCTTCGTTGATGATGGTTTGTTGTGGAGCAGAAGCTGCCCATACAATCCAGGGTTCAGGTGTTATCGGTCGAGCTGGAGAGATTCGGGCTAAGGATCAACCCCGGAAAGTGCCAGCTTTATGTGACGGCCAATGTCAGTGATGGGGACTCTGTCATCATACGAGGGGTTAGGGTTTCTGCGTCATCCTCGATCGAGATCATGGGCATTAAGATGTACGTGGGTATCTCCATCTACGAACTCGTGTCACCCTTGGCAGCTAGAGCTCGAAGCAAGTTCTGGGAACTCAAGCACATCCTCAGATGCAAGTCGAACATGAAGTCCAGGGCCAGGGTCATGCAACGTGTTGTGGGGGCCACAGCGCTATGGTGTCTCAGCAGTTTTCCGCCCGATGCTGCGGCAATGTCGATGCTGAACTCCACCCAACTTCAGCTCATGGTGTGGTTGCTGAGATTCGCCAAACGTGCTGATGAGAGTTGAAAGGGCTTTCAGGGGTGCTCGCAGTGCCCTGCACAGTGCAGGCATCGAAAGGTGGTCGACATTGTGGCTACGCAGATTCTGGTCGTACGCAGGCCACAGGGTCAGGGGTATGCTTGCAGATAGCCGAGTCATAAGCTGCCTATACGAAGACTTCAGAACAGGGTGTTGGTGGCAGAGGGAGAAGAAGCACAAAGGGGGCCTCAGTCACTGTCGACACTATCCCCGCCTGTCCAACCTCGAGAAACATATGAACGAGATCACCCAAGGACCGTGGAGAGAGAAGGCGCGCAACAGGAAGGTTTGGAAACAATTGGAAGAACAGTGGGTCAAAGCCATGGACCCCCCATGGGCCTCAGGTCGACAACTTTCGATCCGAGACTTGTAATGTGAGTTACGAGACAGGGTTGATGTACAGTGGCAGCTGTGACATGCATCAGCGTGGACAATGTGAAGACCGCGGTCTGATGGCTCTAGCTCTGACAGTGTAGTTGGTGCTGCCAATTCGTGACCCCTCTTACGAACATGATCAACTTCTTTCGCAGGGTTGTGGTGAGCCTCTGGGCACCCATCACGCTTGCATATCCTGAAGGGATGTGTGACCTGCTTGGCTATGGAACACGAGGGGCTGGAGCCGAGTCAACCAGGACATGGCACCAAACTCACATGTGCCCGATGCCTTTTCATACCAGAGTTGAGGAAATGGCGAAGGATGTCACAATCCGCTCTTTCGGGACGTCAATGACTCAATGTGCATGGGAATTCACACCAGGACCAGCACCTGGACGAAACTCGAACTTGAGCTGCGGGGTGAACGGTGAAGGGACTGTCTGTCCTGGTGGACACGGAGATTCGCGCGCCGAATGTGACCGAGGTGGGCGGAAGGTGTACCCCCTGGACTTCCAGGAGAACACGATTAGCCGCAAGTACAAGGGCAACAGCTCACCGAGGAGGGAGACCGACGGCACGATCAAGGACTTTGCGGACACAACGGATGCTACATCCCTCATCACGGTCTCAAGTATGACCACGTTGGCCTCCGGTGCTTTCGCCTTCGACCGCCCCTACGAGGAGGATAAAATGCCTGGATGGTGTGAACATGTCAGGGACAACGCCCGGTACCTGCAGGAAAGAGGAGGATCTGTGCGTGACATCTTCGATGCTGTCATCCGAGCAGTCAGGGCTTTCAATGATGCCACCTTCGAGGCCCAAACGGAACTCATGATCAATGGGATCCTACGAGCCATGCACGAAAACCTGGACCAGGCCTCTTGGGACAATGACCCCGTGACCCTCGCAAAAGGACCGCCCACTCAGTTCGAGATGGACGACTACGCCGACTGGGCTGTTCGGACGGTTCGTCAACGATGGCACTGGACCAGATGCCCCGAAGCCATGCAGAACAGGGAACATGAGCGACAACTGCAACAATTCGAACTTCCTCCCGCCCTTACTCCGGAACGGCAATGGGCGGAAGACAGGGAACGAATGTCTCTCAGCAGGTCGCGAACCCCGCAAAGAAGAATGCGGCGAAAGACAAGGGATGTAGAGGAGGAGGAAAACACCGCCATGGTGCAAAAACGGAAGCACCAGGCTACGCCGAAGCAACGCGGGCCCAGCCGTCGGAGGAGACACCGTGAATGGATGAACTCTGTCGGGGACCAGTACCACAGCTTGGGCAGTGAGCGACACCGGGCAAGAGCCTGACGCAACCTCCTGGGTCTGGTATGCCGAACATATGGGCCCGGGGCCATGGACTACGCAGAGCACTTACTACAGGAACTGACAGTGGAAAGGCCGATGACATCGCACCAAGCTACACAAGACCCTGTCACCGTTGAGGAGTGGGTTCAGAATGTGGCTGATGTGATAGGGGGCAGATGGCAGCAACATGGATCCGCTACCAGCTCCTCATCCACCGGTGGGGGGAATGGACCCATCAGCCCGCACCACGCTGCACATGTATGGCCAGATGGGACCTGGAGCACTCGAAGCGAGCTCATCCGGATGGGTCGCCTGGACCTTGTTCACCAGTGGGATCATGGCCGGCCGGAGGACAATGCTCAACAACATGACGGCGAGCCTGATGGACCGGACAACCAAGAGGATGATGAGGAAGCCGAGACCCACTCACTTATGCAAGGGGCGATGGTGACGAAACCCACATGGAAACATCTCATGGAGCAGCTCACAACTTGGATGAAGGAAGGGGCGACCTTGGACCCACTCATCGACATGGTCAGAGGCCTGGTGCACCGGCGAAGCATGCCACACTACCATGAATGGGCAAAAAGACCGCTTACCACAATGAGACTGAGCTTTGCGGAGAACGAGGTGGAAGTTGAAACACCAGTTGTGCCCGCCATGGAACAGGTCAGCATGTGGGTCACCAACGTGGAGACATGCCTTTGGGAAGGGTATGGCCGCCATTGTCAGGCGCGCCTGGGGGATCTACACCACGAAACGGAGGAACTCCACCTCATGGAAAAGAACAGGGGTTCGCGGGGCATCGCTCATCGCCGGCGACGAAGTCACAGTCGCACACCCAGAGGCAGCAGGTCGGGCAGGGGCGAGTTCCATACGGAATCCGTCCGATATCTTGGCGACCCCAGAGATTGCTACACGCCAAGGAATGTGGACAGGGAAGCCATGAGAGTGGAACCCCCGCCTTCCAGCCGGCACGCACAACAGGCAAGGACTCCTCCATCCGCAGGACTCGCATCCAAGGTGGCAGTGGCACGACATGGCAGGACAGAAGGCATGTACCCCGCCATAGAGGGAGTGGAGGGTCTGGAGCAGGAAGCTCCACAGACCGACCAGGAGTCACCACTCCTCGCAGCAGGAGGAGCTGGCCACAAGGACGACAAGTTGTGGCAGCAGGGCACGCTTTCCTGCCGCAAGAGAGCCGTGACCTCATCACGGAGAACTTCCGCCACATGTCTGAAGCCAATCGTCACCAAGTCACCATGAGCTTCGTGAACGTCCTGAGGTTCCTAATGGCTGAAGTTGCCTACCTGATGCAATTTGGCACGGTTCAAGGGAGAGACGACGAAGGGGAGTTTGTGGAGGTCGAGGTGACTGAAAACGAGGACGACCAACACATGGACGAGGCCGGGCTCACGCAAAAGTACCTGCTCACTGGGGGAAAGGACACGCTCGAGAACCGCTGGGCACGTGCCCTGACGAGAATGCAGAAGGAGCTCGGAGACCAACCCAAAGCCACCAGATTGGCGAATATACGGAGGATAAGGCAGGCACTGCCTGCATGTGAGCCTTGGAGTGCCGCTGAATCGCGCAGGGAACAACTCAGAGCCCTCCTGGTCGCCATGATCGACCCCTGTGTGGAAGGAGAGTCTGTGGCCACTGAATCGTGGCTGGCAAGCTGGGGGAACGCGCTGGAATTCTTTGTGCCCGGCAGCTTGTTCAATCTCTGTGTTGACCCCACCGACAGTCCTGACATCGTCTTGGTGTCGGAGAGGACCACGGCACATCAAGACCAAGGACCACAGGAGACAGCCGGACCTCACCCGACACCAGGTGATGCAGGTGAAGCAGCGAGCTCCAGCCAAGGCCCGCAGACGTATGCCCAACAAGAATTGGACACCATACGCCAGCAAGCGGAGGAATACAGGGCATGGGAAAGATCCTTGATGGAGGCCGAGCTGAACAGAGTTCGACCCACCAAAAGGGCAAAATCGTGTTGCTTGATCGAGGTGCAGGCCAGCTCCAGCTCTGATGGGCAGGCCCGTACGTGCCACACGTATGCCATGATGGTCCCGTCGAATGGGTCGACGATACACATTGGGATCAATGCCCGGATGGTGGAAAAACCAGAGGAGGTGACCACGCTTCCTGCAGCGAGCCCGGCGCCGGAAATGGAGGACCACCAAGGGGGCCAGGAACTGGGTGATGAACGAGACAAAGCTGCTGACTCCATCGACTTTGGCCAGTTTCAGAGCATCTACGGTGAATGGAAAAACGGTCGGCTGACCATTGAGCAGATCTGCACGGAATATGGAGAAGAAATGGCAGAGCTGGTAATGACACACAAGCTCGTGGAAGAGGATAGCTCGGACACCCTGGAAGTTCTTCGCAGACAACAACAACAAGCGGTCCCGAGTATGCCTCCTGATGGCTGTCCACGAGGAGAAGAAGCAGCACAAAGGGGTGCCACTGGGATCACGGATGCTACTACGTTGCCGTGGCCGGGGGTGTCGTCGACCTTGCCGGAGTCCCCAGACGTGGAGTTAGAAGAGAAGGGTGAGACACTCGAGGGATGTGCCATCGGAAATCGTGGGCATGAGCAAGATCGTGGCATGTGATGTGATGAGCAGTTCGTTCGAGTTTGAAGGGGGCAAGATGGTCTGGTTAGGGCCTCCCACACCGGTGGGTTTCGCCGACCTTAACTGCTAGGCGGAAAAAAGGTGCTCAACAAAAAAAAACTCTGAACCCTAAACCCTTAAAGAAAAAACCTTTGAAGTCAAAAACTGAGTCGAATCCCGAGCCCCGAGGCTTTGGGTTTCAGGAGTCTCGAGACAGAGCCGAGCTTTCGAAAGCCCATTTGGGAGTTTCCGAAAAGAAGGGGCTCGTTTAAAGGGATCCTTTAAGAGTTCCTATAAGGGATCTATAGGGTTTCGGGTTTAGGGTTAGGGAGTTTCCGAAAATTAGGGGTACCTTATTTTGGGGTCCTTATTGTAAGGATCCTAGTATTTAGGGTCCTACACGAGGGTCCCCTGTTTTCGGAAACTCCCACTTCTGTAATCTAGGGACCGGAAGAATTATTAGCCTCACTACATAGTGTGTACCCATTTTGGTAGTACATTCCCGTTGTGAAGGCCCCTAAATTGGGGCTTGGGGCTTGTGCGGTTTGGGGTTTGGAGATTTTGGTATTTTGGGTGGGTGTGCTGGTGGCAGTCGTCATCGTCATATGAGCAGTAACAGTCGCGTTCGTTCCATGACTGCTGCCGCCACGCGGCTGCTTCTTTACGAAAGCTATTATGGTGCCTGCTGCTGCTCCTGCTGTTATCAGTACTATCACTACCACTACTCACATGCTTGCAGTTGTGGGTTTGGGTCTTCGAAGCGCATAGAACCCTGCACCTCCCAACATGGAGAGGGATCCCGAAGCGTAACGACCATCGAGATCCCATAGCCTCACCCTGAACTCTGAACCGCCCCCTTGCCTGCTAGGAGTCTCGACTGCTGGTGCTGTGAGATCTGGACCTCCGGCACATCAGTAAGGGAGTGTTGTGTTCGGGGGTTTCTTAATTCAGGCGAGCTCTTCCTTCTTCCGGACCTCTATGGAGTTCATTCCCGATGGAAACTGAGGTTATGCGTCTAGGCTCTGGGGTCGAGGGTCCTTCAGCCTCAACCCCAGCAAGGGGAAGGCTGTGCTGGTGATGGTAGGATTAGTGACGACACTGAGGTTCAAGATGGTTCATCTTCGAGAATGATCTTAGAGTTTACTGTTGGCATCCTCGTTGATGCTACCGTGCATGTCGTTTTACTCCTGTGCCTGCTTGCTGCTGGTGGTACCGAACCTGTCACGCGAGGCGCTAGGTCAGAGGTAGAGAGCAAGAACTTACCCTAAAGACTTCGATGTTTCAATGCCTGTTATCCTCAATCGGAATCCCCACAAGCAGCACAGAAGATAATACGGACTTGTTATACACCACCGAAGTTCTTCGATATTAGGATCCTGAAGTCAAGAATGCCCAACGTAAACCCAAGCCCTAAATCCATAAATCTTAAACACTAAACCTTGAACCCTGAACCCTTATAGCACAACATCAAACCCCAGGAACAACCAAGACTTCGAGCTGGGCGTGCAGAGCTGGAATGCCATGCAGGCTCCTGCGGTTTGCTTCTGCACGCTCGCGAGCCTTCAAGGTTTTGTGCACAGGGCTTTGGGTTGGAAGGTTAAGTTTGAGGGTTCAGGGTTTAGCGTTGAGGCTTTGCAGTGGATTCTCCCGGCTGCCGCCTCAGCAGCAGGATGAAGAGAAAGTATGCATAAGCATGGACGTGGAACTCACGCGGAGACTCACGAGGAAGCTTCATGAGTCAAGAGTGGAATGGGGCTTGCATGGATGTCATCATATTGAGCTGTGCAAGGTTTGTGAGCGGACTTCTAGACAGCATTGCATAACGACTGCAATGACTTGAATCTGCGGCTTCTGCTTTCTCATTGTTCCAGTATGATGCTCATCGTGCTCATCGCCGATCTTTTGCAGGGTTCTTGCTGCAAGATTTTGTTGTCAATGCCAAGGCCAGGCTAGGTAGATTGCAAAGTAGTTCTTCTTGCTCGATGATTGCGAGGGTTGTAGGGCAACACCGATCTCATAAATGCCGCTCTGTCGCTATGGCTTGGAGTGCCGTTCAAAGATCTGCACTTTCCGACACCCGCTTGGCAAGCGGGCTGCGGAGAAAGCCCCAGACGAGATTCCTTGCAAATATGGTGTAGACTGCTTCAGGTCACTTTAGCCATCCAGCCAGCAGGGTTGTCTGTGCTGTTGGTGATGCATGTCCCTACAGTGACTGCAAATGCGCTCACCCTCCACGGAGACCGTCATGCAATAGTGGTGTTTTGTGCAAGTTGATGGATTGTCACTTTTTGCATCCACGCTCCTGGCACGCCAGCTGCAGCAAGAATGAATGTCCCGAAGGCGCCGATTGTTTGTTTTCGGATTGTCCCAACTCTCATCCGCATCGACCTGCGCCCTGCATTTATGGGGCAAAGTGCTTACGAGGCAAAGACGAGTGTCGATACATTCATCCGGAAGCTTGGTACAGTCAGGAGGTTGTTCGGGACAGCTGTCAGCATGGGGATGCATGCTCCAGGGAAGATTGCCGTTTCGCGCATCCTGCCTCACGAGTCCTTTGCCCTGATGGCGGCAACTGTCGTTACTCTGACTGTTCTGCAACTGCGCATCCCAAACGAAGGCCGCTGTGCAAGAATGGCACTGACTGTGAGCATGAAGACTGCCATTTCTTGCATCCCAGAAGCTGGTATGGAGAGCATTGCCCCTTCGGGAAAAAATGTTTGTACAGTGATTGCCAGAAGAAGCATCCTGTGAGGCCAACGGTATGCCGAGATGGAATGAAGTGTGGCCGTGCCAAGCAGGCATGTGGCCATCTTCATCCGCGCGAGTGGTATGGGGAATGCAAGATGTTTCTTGTGGATCCATCAAAAGTCCGCTTCACACACGGCCACATCCATCACAAATTCAGATTTGGCAATGGGCTTGATGACACCATCGACCAACTCCGGTGTGAGGACTTGAGTTTTGATGATTTCCCACCGATGGAAGTCTTCCGCCTCACTCGGGCAGCGTTGGATGATGAAGTTGTCATTGAGTCAATCTTGTCATCTCTTGACATTCCATCAAAGAGCTCCCAAGCGTATAAGATCATCAAACAGCTTCGGGAATCCTGCACTGGTGAGCTTTTCTCGCTTAGCAATCGGCGGCTGTTTGTTGCCAGGGTTGGCCACAATTTCGGCCTGCTTGACAAGGTGCTTGTGCAAGAGTATGACTTTGCATCTGAGCGCGTGCAGCGACCGGAGCGCGGCCGACCGGATCGTGGCGAAGATGACGGTGATGAAAAGGCTAAGTGGCTATCAGCTTTGTCAACTGAGAACATGGGTCGATCTGTGCATTGTCACAGCTCATACCGTGGGTTTGAAGTGCATGGGTATGTTGCACATACTTTTGGGCTGCCCGAAGTCGTTTCTGAGGAGACAGGATCGACCATGCGCCGGGCTCTTCGGGGCAAGATTCAGGAGAAGACCGGTCAAGAGGAGCTGCCAAGTAGGTTGCACACGATCGAAGAGCCTTATGATGCCATCGATGTGTGTGTTCCCCAGTCTTCACTGCAGGCGGTGAAGTCAATTCCTGTTCCAAAGCCGATCGAGAGAAGGCGCCACCAACCAGCCAGGAAGATGAAGAATCCCAAAGAAGAAGTGTTCCAGTTTCTCAGTGCCCAGCAGCAGGGTGGTGTGAGGAAAGGACGCGGCAAAGGGAAGAGATCTTGAAAGAATGCGTTCAGGCTCAACAACTATGAGTGCTTGCACAAATGTTTCATGCCTTCGACTTGGTGTAGTGAGCCACCGAGTTGAAGCATTATGTTGAGCACAGCTGCTGGCGCCAGCTCGTGCTGTTTATAGCAAAGACATTGGTGCGTGAACACTCTATGCCGTGATGCTTCGTCTTAGCCTATGATAGGTATTAGCAAAATCAGCAGCAGCAGTCTTGGACCTCAGTTAGGACCACACGCATTGTCCCGCACCTTGAAGAAGAATGCTGTAGATTTTTTAGCTTGAGCTTTCACATTTGTGCATTTTTGAACGGTGGTGCATGAAAAGTGAACGTAACGATACCCCCCCACCATCCGCTTGAGATAGGGTCTGGACCTTACACAAACTTCAACTTTGCTGCTTCATGAATCAAGGTAGGCAGCTTTGCAGGGTACCCCGTTTATGGTAGGTTGTTCTCCAGGCATAGCATAGGATTGCACGTTCAGTGTGATGTGATTATTCTGTTTGCAGGAGGAGGTAAGAGGCCGTCATCACAGTTCAGCATCATTCTCACTCGCACCACTACCACCACTGCCACCATTGGTATCTTTACCACAATTCCCACCACCATCGCTATGTGGGCCGTTATGACTATATATATATATATATTCATTTATTGTTGTGCCGAAACCCTTATTGCAAAACACACTGGTAAGTCTCTATAATATCATTTCAAGGCATGGATAAGTATCCTATAAAACCCGGTACATCCTTGTAAAAGGCAATCTAACCACTTATGAAATCCCATAAAGCCCTGAAGTGTATGATCTTTTGAAACCCTAACCCTACACCCAAAACCCTATACCCTGAAACCGTAACCCTATACCCCAAACCCTATACCCTGATACCTTAAACCCTAAACCCTGATACCCTAGACCCTAAACCCTGAACCCTGATACCTTGCCCTAAACCCCTAAACCCCTAAACCGCAAACCCTAAACACTGAACCCTGATACCCTGCACCTCAAACCCTGAACCCTAAACCCTGATAGCCTGATACCCTAGACCTTAAAACTTTGAAGCATGATGCCCAAAAACCCGCCGCAGGCCCTCCTTAAGTCAGTGGGCCGTGAGCTGCAGAACGGCTTCCTCGCCCTCCAGGTTGGCTTGGGGGGCATTTAGGGCTTTTCGGATTTAGGGGTTTAGGGACTTCGGGTTTTGGGTTTATTGTAAGGATTTCGTGTTTCGTGTAGGCGAAGGGCCCGAACAGTCAGAAGCCGGCTTCGGGATATGTTACCGAAAATCGATGAAAAGACGCTGAAGTAATCTCTTTGCTTGCCTTCCAGCTTAGCACTGAGGGCTTCTTGAGGGGTTAACAGACACCTAAACCTTAAACTCTTGCTTAACCTTCCTCATGGGGATTTTCGAGACGTTTTGGCAGATCGGAAAACTAAATCCTGAACCCTAAACCCTAGACCCTAAACCCAAAGATCCGGCTAAGCTGCTGAACAAAGCCGACCGGCAGAGTCTGCAAACGTCCTTTTCACGGCGACGCTTACTCCCGACCTCCTCGCCCTCTTCTAGAAATCCTTCACCATTTGCAAGGAGCGCTCCTGCCTCTCTGACCTGGCCAGATGACATGGTGAGGGATGCTGTGAACCGTAAACTCATACATGCGGGTGAAGCCGACGTGATGGCCTTTGTACACAGGATGCTCAATGGCCAGAGACGTTTCCGTCATTGTGAGCGTCTCATCCGGGACGCGATTGAAGAGGCCCTCAAGTGGGTGCGCTTACCGGAGCACGCGGTTCCCCTTAACGTGGACCCGCACGATAGGGCAGTGTGGAACACGATACTGGAAGAGTCTTCGTTTCGTTCGAGCCCCTCATCGTCGGTGCCAAGCACGTGGGTCAATGCCTCAGTGGCCCTGCTTCAACCGTCATTCCCGTCCTCTGTCACGGAGCTGCTGGCCTCGCTTCCAGGTGGAGGAGCACATGATAGCAGGATATCGAAGACGCGCCTGGCAGGTACACGTCGTTGGTCTCTGTTCAGCGGAGGGCTGAAACGTCCCTGTGGGTGCATCGTGTGCGTCGAGATCAACCTAATGGACGTCGTCGCCATCGTCTGCCTCGACCAGATCCACAGTTGGTTCCACTCGGCACGAATCTCCTCCTAGAGCATGCAGTACCGTTTCCTCTCTGAGTACATCGAGGGGACTACTTCCTGCTCCAGCTTCTGTTGAAACTCCCGTTGAACCTCGTGCACCACCTCGTGCACCACCTCGTGCACGAGGGCACCCAACGACTGTTGCTTCTCCCGAACACAGTGGCCTACCTCCTGCTCAAGTTCCACCAGGTGCTGCAGCTCAGCCTGGACCTTCTGCTGCGACTAGCACGTGGTTGACCTCGCGTGGTGAACATGCAGGTGTCAAAGAGTCGACTGTGTCCTCGCTGTCGTTCGCTCGGGGTCGTGTTCTAAGTCGAAGCCGTGATGATCCAAGCTCTTAACCGTGTCCCTCGAACTCGTGAGCCTCGCGACGATTCTCCACTTTGAACACTGAGTGGCTGTTGTCCTCTAGTAAGCTCCGTCAGTCTTCTGTTTTGACGATCAGTGTGGGAAGACTGTCTGTTTCGGGAATCGAGCTCCCCATTTTACAGTGCATGCCTCGACCGAGGGGGGCCGCCCGGAGAAAAGGTCACTGCACCCAAAGGAAACCCTAAACCATGAGCTGAACCCGGAGCTCCAGACTCTCGTTCCAAAGGCCTTCGGCTACTTGAGTTGCGTGCTCTTCCTCGGAGGGGCCATCGCAGAAGCTTGGTTGATGTGATTAGCATCAGACCTGTTTCGTATAAGCTTTGTGTATCATTTGAATAAAAAAGGTTAGGGAATGGGGGTACCTCTGACAGGATCATCTGTACGTGAGCAGGGGTTATGAGTAAGTATGACTACGGTTGCCTGACTCACGGAGGAAAGCTGTTTTTTTCGGGTTATGTTGATTCTTTCTTCACTTTTTCTTTATGCGCAGCGCAAGGTGGGGCAGAAGGAATGGAGGCAGGCAAGAAGGAAGGAAGGAAAGGAAGAGCTAACGAAAGGAAGTTAGGACAACGACCAGGAAAAAGCAAGGGCGAATCCAAAGAACAGGAGGAGCCCAGCGGCAGGAAAACAGGACAAGTGGGAAGCCAGGGAGCAAGAAAGGAAGGAAGGGAGCAAGCTCTTGTTTTCAGTCGGCTATTAGTCAATTCCAGTTTGAAGGATTCAGCTTTTCCAACCTGCACCCATCCAGCCCCGACAAAACGGTAGCTGGCGGGATACTACTTGACGTAGCATGATGTATTGCTTTGCGGCGGTCTTCCAAGAGTTTTTGCATGTGACTATAATCGCTACTGTGAAGTCAGATAAATACAAGTCTTTTTTGCGAGTACCAAGGGATGCTTCAGAATGATACATCGTCACCCATTATCCCGGCCGGTTTTTTTAGCTGAAGGATCCTACACTTTTCAAAACTCTCAGGTTTGTGCCGCTTCTGCCTGTCAGTCCCATTTGGTGGAGACGGCCGATGCAAGGGAGATACACCTGAACCGCTAGCCGGTTTAGGGTTTCGGGTTGAGGGTTTCATCAAGCCTCAAGTTCAAGCCTACTGGTCCCCCAAGTTTCCACCCGAAACCTAAACCTTCAAGCCGCAACCCCAAACCCAAGACCTTACCTGATCTGTCCATCCCGGCAGGTGGCTCTCCGGGATGATTTCACCTTCCTCCCGATGCTGCTTGAGGTGCTGGCTGTCCTCCCGCTGACAATCCTCTTCCTGGCCTTCCGGCAGAAGGGGCCATATGTTGAGGTTTCGGGGTGTGGCGATTTGTTGTTCAGGGTCCAAGAATCCGTAAGATTTAGTAGCCTGAAGTTCTGATGTTTCCGCTGCTAGTCATCTCGCAGGACGAAGCCGAAGACGAATTGCTTGCTCCTAGAACCTAAATTTGAGCACCCTGCTCGGGTGAAGGTGCAGCAGCAAGCACATACTGTAGAAGCTGCTAGCTTCCGTTTTGACTGGTGCGATATTGATATAGGAAGTTGCCAGTCAAAGCCATCGGGGGTGCTCAGCTGGTGCGAATAGTGCATTCAAACAATGGACACGTCAAAAGGAGTCTGAACCCTAAACCCTAAGCACAGGCCTCCGAGTCAGCTCACTGGCATTTTGTCGTGCTAATCGCGACTTACGGCCGTCTGCGACTTACAAACACACTGGCGACCGAAACCCCTTGGATCTTCTCCCTTGGAATGAAGAGAAAAGGTGAAAGACTATGATAGCTGCAATGCTCATAGTTGTGTGTTTAGTTTGCAGGATCTTGATGCCGATGAACTTTTGGCTTTGAGGTGAATCTCCGCGTCTTTGCGCACGCTGCTGGGCTGACAGCAGCTTGACACAGATTGAGCTGGAGCAAACCATGTCTTCTGAGTACCGACAGATTTGGTGCGACGGGGACGCGCTGAGATGTTCATGTGGGTAGTTGTCAAAATTACGGTCGCTTTTTGGGTACCCTAGATAATAGGTGCCGTATTCTAATAGGGATCCCAAAACGGACCATAACTTTGACAACCACCCATGTGGTAGCTGCGAGGGAGGGTGCTTGTGACCCGAAGGCGCTGTCCGTTGCCGAGCGTTGCTTCCCGTTTGGGATGTTTGGTTTTGGGTTTGGAGTACAAACCCCCTATTGGTTTAGAGACGGTGGCGATGCGCTTCAGAATTATGCCAAAAAATGCGGGGAGAGTCCTTGTGCGAAGGCATAGCAAAGCGCGGTACATGTTGCCGAAAGGAGAGGGCCTGCGCCCCATGACGACAGGACAGATGTACAAAGTGCACAGGCGCACTAGTAATGTAGGAACCTGATTAAGAAACCCTGGGCCCATAACCCCAAAATAGCCGGATTCATATGGAACCCTAGTAAAGGCCCAAGGTTTCTTAATCAGGTTCCTACATTAATGTAGACAGACAGGCTGAGCCACAGGCAGATGAGAAGGTGAATAGATGGGAGTTTCCGAAAACAGGAAGATGAGTGTGCCCTAATATAGTACCCTAAAAAGTAGGATCCTTATTATAAGGACCCCAATGTAATGTACGCACTAATTTTCGGAAACTCCCAGATCTGGCTGCTCCACGACACTGCCAGAGTGCGGAGACCCCCGAAACCGAACACCCGAATCCCAGAATCACTCGACCCCGAAGCCCCAAACTCCTTAAATAGGCCTTGTGTATTCCTTATTATAGGCATTCAGGCCCCCTAATTATCGTCCTACAACCCTGTACCCTAAACCTAAACCCTAAACCCAAAACATAAACCCCAAACTCCTGAACCCCAAGACCGAAAAGGGAAGAGTGGCCCAGATCTCTCAGGAAAAGTGCAGGGCAATCCCGGCCTTCGTGAACCAAATCATGGCCGAGGACTTCCCGGAGTTGTCGGTGTTTTTGCAGTAGCACCTGTTTAGCTGCTTTTTGTTCTTCTGTTTGGGGGTGGTTCTGTCTTAAACCCTGAGTAGACATGGAGGAAGGGTATACCCCCTACGCATAAGCAGGACACTGAACAATCCAAGATTGCCGTCATCAGCCGGACCATAGCTTAAACTGGTGTGAGCCTCTGCTCCCTACACTAAAACAGATGCCTGGAAGGACCCCCCGGCCGACAAATGCAAAGGCCCCAAACGAAGCCTACGATCCCCTGTAAGGGAACCCTCCACTCCAGAACACCAACACGCTTCCAAAGGCCCGCATACAGGGATCCTTCAAGGAGCCCTTAAAGGATCCCTGCATGAGGATCACTTTTAAAGGAAGCCGGTAAGGGATCCAGCAACTGTTTCTTGGAGGAGGCGATTGAGCGCAAGCGCCAATACCTGGTCCAGTTCATCAAGGAGCTGTCAGGTCTGAAGGTGTTAAGAGGCTAGGCAGGGCTTTGGGACATTTTATATGTGCTCTTATTGGGCTTAAGAGGATCTTACCCACTAGTATGTTTCAAAGGCTTTAAAAGTCCTAGGAGGCGCTTCGTGAGTTGGGAGGGTTACGTGGGCTTCTGCGCGGCTTGATGCTTTGTCAGGCGTCAGGCTGGGTTCCGGGTTTAGGCTTAAGACTCATATGGGAGTTTCCGAAAATTAGGGGTACCCTATTTTGGGTCCTTATACTAAGGATCCTACTATTTAGGGTACTATGTTAGGGCCCCCCCCATTTTCGGAAACTCCCATATGGTTTCGGACTACCGGGCTGGATGGCGTTGGGGCCTGGGGATTTGGGCTTTCTGAATAGTGTAGGAACCTGATTAAGAAACCCAGGGCCTATAACCCACCACAGTAGCAGGATTCATATAAGGGACCCTAATAAAGGCCCCCAAGGTTTCTTAATCAAGTTCCTACCTTCCTTAAATAGGCCGTATTAAGTCCTTATTATAGGTATTCAGGCCCCCTACCGTCCTACAACCCTATGCCCTAAACCCTGAACCCTAAACCCTAAACCCTAAAACCCCAAACCATAAACCCTAGGTTTCTTAAGCAGGTTCCTACATTGTTTGGGCTTTAGGATGCGTTTTGTTTCTTCGGCTTCGGCGGGTCTACGTTATTGAGGACTGTTCGGCCTCTCAGGATGTAGGGGTGCAGCTAGAGGATTTAGGGTTCAGGAAAACCCCAAATAACCTACCTGTTTTGAGGACTTAGAAAAGGAAAACATAAAAAGGAGCCTTAAACAGGTAGGTTCTTTAGGGTCCAGGTAGGGTTTAGGTATGAGAAATGACAACTACGACGCCTCCAAAGCTTCTTATGTCAGTGCACGAAGCTTTATCCTCCCAAGCCCCCAGTCTCAGTATCTACAAAGGCCCCAAATATTGACGATTCTCTGAATCCGAAGCCCCTGAGTTGCTTTTCAGGACAGTTCGGCGGGTTTCTATGTCAAGAACGTCCAGCTGACGCAGGACAGGGTAGAGCCGGGGCTTCGGGTCGGGGTGTTTGTATGGCGTCAGCGGGTCTTAAGGAACTGTTTTCTAATGTAGATAGGACAGAAGCATGGTTTAGGAGTTTAGCATGTTTGGGGTCCGGGGTTTCGGCTTCGTTGTTTCGTTGTTGATGACTAATGAGTTTCGGGGTTTCGGGTCTAGCGGTCAAGGGGTTTGGAGTGAAGGGTCAAGGGCCTTGGGGTTGGTATGGTTTCTGTATAGGCCGAGAGGTTGGAGCTTCAGCCCCGCTTCTTTCATCAAATCCATTGCTGTGAATCCGCCTCCTTGCCGCAGGAGATGTTCGCAAAGCAGATGTACATTTCCGGAACCGTGTGCCCAGACTGATAGTCTAGCCCGACAAAGCAGCTCCCGAACACAGACGCAGGCCCTAACGTAGGCTTTGTGTGGGCATACCGCCCGTACAGATCTTAACCGACCGCAAAGCCAAAAGCACGTTGCACCCTCTCTCGGCCCTAAACTCTAACACCCTAAACCCAGTTTGCCCATAACATTGAACAACATCTTGCATTATCCATGGTGACGATTTTGCCAGAAGTGCAATCATCTGGCGTACTTCGGGTCGTGTCAGATTGTGTCCATCAGCGGATCCTGACTGTCCATTCACATGCGAACTTGCTGCAAATCCCCAAGACTCAAAGCTGTCTTACGCCCGAAGCTTAGGTGGAACACTGTTGAGCGTTTGTTAGGACTGTTGGTGCTTGGAGGTTTATGGGGTTTAGGGGTGAACGTTTAGTGTTGCAGGTTTGGATTTCTAGCGGCTAGGGTTTGAGAAGGAGCATGACCAGGGTTCTGCAGTAAGTCAGGGATGAGGAGGTTTGCAGGATTGGCTTGGGGGTTTGTGGCTTCGAGTTGACTGGATGACCCGCCCAGAGAGAAAGAGAGAGAGTTAGAGAGCGCAGGCACGCGCTGTTCACTTGCTTTCCTATCCATTGCTGTCCCTGTATCTTAAAAGGAAACCCTAAACCCTAAACAGACTTTCGAAGCTCGACTTCGCCGAGGCTTTCGGGCTTGATCGGCTTGATCTCGCGCGTCCTCCTTGCATGAGCTCCTCGGCTGTGACCCAAGCACTGATGTAGGAATCTGATTCAGAAACCCTAGGCCTACAATCCCCAAAATCGTAGGATTCATATAAGGAACCCTAATAAAGGCCCAAGGTTTCTTAATCAGGTTCCTACATATTTATGGTACCCTACAGATCCCTTACAGTAATTCTTATAGACCCCTTTAAAAGGAGCGGTTCCTACAGTAGGAGGCCCCAAGGGAGAGGGCGTGGGGTTTCGAAAGGGCTTGCCAGGGGCTTTTTATTGGGGTTTCAGAGGGTTTTAACCTAGACCCGGGCCTAGAAGCTTTCACCGCCATTTTCGGGCCACTGGAGCTCCTAAAGCACCTAACCCCGTAATGCGATGATTTTGCACGGCTCTGATCTCCCGGACCACCGCAGATATCGGAGTTCACCGTGGCGGTTGCCTTATGATATAATCGTTATTGGGTTTAGGATTTCAGGGTTTGCTATCCTGTTGTAAATACCCCAAACCCTCGACCGCATCCTGGCGGTGTGGCCAGTAGATCCTGAGGGACCTGGAAGGTTCCAGGGCCTTGTCTCCGGGCTGAAGTTCGTTTCAAGCTAGAATCTCTGGGTCATACTTAGAGGATCATGGGACTTAGTAAATAGGGTATAATTGGGGTTATAAGTCCCCTAACTGGGGTTACCCTAATTATAACCTACTTATAACCTTACTTACTAAGAGCCTTCAAGTAGAGTCAGCGTTGCATTCATAACTAGGCACAGCAGTGTTCATCGTAATGGCTATGATACGACTAGCAGGAGCCATCATGCGAACACGAGTAGCACTTGATATACAGGCAAACTATTTGCAGGTGTAGTAACGGTATATGGTGGTAATGGTACTGGACATGGTAACAAAGAGATGGTAGTAAGAACAATCACAGTTCCTTTGATGGTGTTAGTAGCAGACAACCGAACACACATACAGAGAAAGCGTGGGAAAGTGCGGAACAACAACTGGCAATAGTACTCGCAAGCATGGGTTTGGCCGGGGAAGGGGAAGATCGATTTCGACGTTCTCAGAGGTGTTAACGTACCTGCTTCAGGATTCCTTCATGGCTGTTTCTGGAATGGTTGTGGCATGTTTACGCGGGATTCTTAGCGGATTCTGTAGGGTTTTGACATTGTGGTCGAGCCTGGTATGACAGATTTGCAAGGGTGTTGTAGGATTCTTGTCAGGGTCGTATTGGTTTCTGATGTCTGACTTAGGGGCTTAGTGATCTTGGCTCTGCATCGCCAAGCTTTCAAAGCCCAAGAACGTAAGGTCCCATGGAGTTGCTTTCCATGCCTGGTCCGGCATGAGGGCGGGTCGACGCATGCCCCTTTGAATCCAAGAGTTTAACTGAGCTCTTTGCGGGGTTAGAGGTTGGGGCTTTCAAGGGCTGCAGGGAGGACGGAGCAGGATTGAAGGCAGGGACTTGATCCTTAGGCAGGTGGACGTCTGAGCATGGTAAGGAATCTGACACCGGCCGTGGGAGGATTTAAGCCCTTGACTGCCTGAACTCCTGAAATTCCTAGCTGATTTCGACCACCCCTCACAATCACCATCTCACCCACGGGCACCGTCATGCCCATCATGGCCCAACCATCACCGTCACCATCGCCATCAAGGTCACGGACACCATCGCCGCCGCCACCACCATCCACATCATCCTCCTCATCGTGATTCTTCATACTTTGGGGTTATCCTAATTATAACCTACTTATAACCTTACTTACTAAGTCCCATGAGCCTTCAAGTAGTTCTCGTGCAATTGACATTTTTTGTTACTACTGCTGCGGGTGCTGCTGTGACTGCTCTGCAGGAGGCTGCTGCTGCTGCCGCCAAGGACGACGACTGCTTTGCAACAGTAGCTCCTACAGCAGCAACGGCGGCAGCAACAACGACGGCAACAGCAGCAGCAGCAACAGCAAGATCCCTAAACCCTAAACCCTAAACCGGCTACCACCACCGGTGCCAGCGGTCTGCCATCGATTTTCAGCTCCCGAGGCAGTGCCGGGGAAAGCTTCGAGAATTCAGCAGCAGGCGCCGTACGCATAAGCTTGTCCCCCACAGGTTGTGCCCCACATCTATCGAGCGTGTCTTATGGGACACAGCGCGATGCAGCGTCTCATTTTTCGGGGGTTCTGATCTTTGATGTACCGTCGTCAGCAGATTTTTGGCTGTTTCATGTGCGCTTGTTCCGAGTTCAGGTTCCCTTTAAGGTGCCCAGCTGATAAGTAGCTATGCACTCCGCATCAACGCAACATCATGTGGAGCAACCGCGTTGTCACTTGAAACCGATAGAGACGGGCTTGATCCCCAGTATGCCGTAGCAGCCCGGACAATTACCAATACTATTCCGTAGGTTCCTTTTCTGTTGATACCACGAGATACCCCAAACTTCTGCTCTAATTGTTAAGGCTTCCTGCAGTGCTCTGCTCTGGAAGCTCGTTTTTCAAGCCCTCATGATTCAAAAAAGTTACTAAAGCCCGTTTCTTGGTAGACTATACCTTCGGCTCCCATGATTCGGACTATTTTGGGAGTCCCGACAGTCACAACAGATTGGCTGTACTACTTAAAAGCAGGAGTTCCTTTTTCCGAGGTTTTCATGTCAAGGATCCTTGTGTCCAGAGCTTGCATGAAAGCCCCTTGCTTTCTTCAAGTGTCATTGATTGTGGCAGGGCCTACCTTCCTAAGTCGTGGTCCCGCGACAAGCCCATGCCTTGCCACCTCGCGAAAGTCGTGCTCCCGCCAGAGTGCCGTGTGTTCTGTGCAGCGAGCTGTGCCCCTGCCACACGAGTCTACCGTTGCATAAACAAGAAAATGAATCTGTAAATAAAAATGTAAGTAGAACAAGCATTATGTGTGCAATGTGTGCATGTATGTATATATGCATGTATGTATGCTACAACATTGAAAACCACGGATGATTAGCCCCCCCCCCGCAGAAACCCAAAACCTTTTCTTGACTATCCGGGCCCTGTCATTGCATCCTGAACTCGCTCTGCCGCAGGTCGTCCGAACGAGTTCGGACCATTTGGTATCCAGCGGCTGTTCACATTTTCTTCATGCGGCAAGTGGAACGGGGTTTAGGCCCAATTTTGGTGTAGCAAGATGTAGCCGCAGTCTGTGACCTTGCCGATCTACATCTAGAAAGGGTCAAGCATATGTTGCACCTAAGTAAGCCATCTGCGGGCTGCAGAGCACTATCAGCCGGCGGTTGGGACTTAAAAAGCCACAGGGCGACGAGTGTGCTTATGAATTAGCTTCTTGTTGACTTGTTGCCTATAGAGCTGTGTAGTAACCTGAAATCCCAAACCTTAGAGTGGCAATCTTCCTGAAACCTGGAGACTGAAGCATATTCCCTGGCCCTACCATCTTTCATTTTCTTTCCAAGAAGAAGTAGAAGTAGTAGCCATGCGCGCCTCCTGGCGCCTGGCGTTTTCCTCTGTTTTCAAGCGTTTTGTGGAGGTTTTGGGTTGGTGTAGGGGGGTGGGTGGGGGGGGGGGTTAATAACGACATGGTCGACCGCAATGGTCTTCTTGTTGCCAAAAACACTGGCAGTGCCGGTACTTTGGAGCGTTTTTCGGTGGCTTTCGTTCGACTGGGAGGGGAGGGCATGGTGGGGGTGTCAATCACGACATGCTTCACCGCAATTTTTGCCGGTTTCGCAATCCCCACGGTGTGGCTCGATTTTTGTGTGTTTTCGAAGGATTTTCTTCCACTGGTGCGGGGGGGTCGTGAGGGGGGGGGGCCCGCACAGTGCCTCGATTTTCGCGTGTTGGCAGTAGCAGTAGCAGTGGCAGCAGCAGTAGCACTGGCAGTAGCAGTAGCAGTACCAGCACCAGTGGCACTAATAGTGCAGCAGCGGCAGTAGCAGTCGCACTAGCACTGGCAGCAGCAGTACCAGAACCAGTACCAGTGGCACTAATAGTAGCACTACTACAGTACTACTAGGTACCAGTACCAGTCCTACTAATAGTCCTACTAGCAGTACCACTACCAGAAGCCGTAGCACTAGCACTAGCACAAGCGGCTTGAGGCCCTTTCTGCAGCAGTGTAGTAGGCCTAGTAGTAGTAGTAGTAGTAGTAGTAGTAGTAGTAGTAGTAGTAGTAGTAGTAGTAGTAGTAGTAGCACTAGTGGCCGTAGTCCTCAGTCCTACTAGTGGCTTCCAACAACATGCACATCATTGTCATTCTCAGCATCATCATCATCATCAGTAGCATCACTAGCATCATCATCGTCATCGAAAAGTGTAAATTTTAGTAAAACAAAGTAGTTTGAAAACGTAACTGAACTGCAATTTCCACAAAACCCTGGAAATACCAGTACTTTTGACCCTCTAACACCTGCAAACTACCAGGCGCCAGGAGGCGCGCAAGCCTAGTAGTAGTAGTAGTAGTAGTAGTAGTAGTAGTAGTAGTAGTAGTAGTAGTAGTAGTAGTAGTAGTAGTAGTAGTAGTAGTAGTAGTAGTTGGGGCATCCGTGCCTTAAAAAGGAGGATGTTCCGCTCGCCTGCGCGAAGGAAAGTGTCCAGTTGCTGAGAGTCGTTGGAAGGTCGAATATAGAAGGGGATTCCTATAAGGGTTCCTGTAAGGGCTTCCTTTAAGCTTCAACAGCCAACGCTATTTTTCAAGGTTCCTTACATGTTCTTACCACTACATACTATCCGAACACCTGCTTTTTCGTCAGGTCCTTATCCCAACCATACTATCCGAAACCTTGTTCCAGTTATGAAGACACATAGTACCTCCTCAAACTCAACGCTGGCATTGCAGATGGCCCTTTTGATTGACAACAGCCTAAACTGGGTTCGGCGGCTTGCATCAGCTGAAGTTTCGGATCGAGTGACTTCCTTACTTGCAGCAACAAAAAGACGCATACTATAGGGGCCTTAATTATCACCTACACTATTTTGGGGGTTCCTTATGATAGTTATGGTATATAGTGGGCCCCAAAACCCTATTCTAATTATTAAGGCTTTAATGCCGTAA